CACACAACATCAACAACGTCAACAACATCAACGACAACATTGGAAATGTTTCCAGTTCTGTTTTCCATTACAGCAGCAGCAACGGCATGGTGCCAGACAACAACGATGACGCCATCGTTAACTCCTCTATGTATCCAGCCTCCAACAACAACAACATCATCAACAACAACCACAACATGAACAGCAACAACAACTGCTTTTCAACAAACGGTGGTCGGTTGTACTACAAAAGTTCCTCCTATCCATCCATCCCTCTCCAACACGCCTACTTCTACCACCAGTACCCCACCTCCATGCACCATTCACCCTTCCACTCACCTCAGCAACAACATTTCCAACAACAACAAATTCAACTGAGACAGCAATTTCAACTTCAGCAGCAACAGCAGCAACAACAAATTATCATTCAGGAACCAATCTTTCCCAAATTCCCTCCGCAGAATTTCGACATTCCCGACATTAATTTCTCAAACAGTGTCTTTGGTGACAACATGTCCATCACCGCCAACAACAACAGCAACTTAACAAACCACAACAGCTCGCCATCTTCATCACCATCGCCCACAACCACCAACCACCACAACAACAAACTTTCCTCCCCACACCTGCTGTCATCATACGCCTGCCTCCCCCCAATTCACCAAGACCCTCGCCTTCAACACTCACCCACCGATCCTTCCTACTCTGCCCAACTTCGACCCTACCCATCCAACTTCTGGCTCCCTCAGGTCGTGCCCCCCACGTCCACTGCCTCCTCGCCGGTCAGCCAAAATGATGACAATTCTACAAACTTTGAAGCCAACGGAGGAGGTGGAGGTGGAGGTGGAATGGTGGCTGGTGCGGGGGGTGCTGCTTTCCCGGGATCGAAAACCGCTCAACAGGTTCGTGCTCATTGAAGCGTTCATTGTTGTTTGTTGTTGGTTTAGAGAGAATTTTTAAAAAATGATACATGATGAAAATATTCTTAAATGAAAAAAGTCTACTTTTTATATGTCACTTGAGGGGAGGTGTGAGTGTTCTATGCAACTTTTTGCATCAAGTAGGTCGGAGTGTTTGCCTGCATGTAGGGGGGAGGGAGAGGGGGCACTGGAGGTCGAACCTTCCATCAGCCAGCACAAATTGAATAACAAAAAAATGATAAGGTGGCTCGTGCAATTGAAGTTATTCACAGCATATCTCTCTTCCATCTAAATTAAACTGGCAGCACCATCACCTGCAACACCGTCCACATCATTACTGAGTGCGATCATCATCATCATCACATCATCATCACATCATCATCATCATCATCAACAACAACAACAACATCAGGATCACCAGCATCATCATTACCAGCATCGCCATCATCACCACCATCATTGCACGAAATCCCGCAAACTAGATTAATTAATTTTTTATTGATTTATGTGTGACAAAAATTTCATAAATTAATTTTTTTTTACATTTTTTGCGAATTAATGAAAAACAAAAGTAAAAAATTGACTCTCAATTTGGAAACATCATCCACAGATTCAGGCCGATTGAGACATTTCGATATTTTTTAAACATTTAACATTTAGCTGGCAGGTATTAATAAATTTCAAGCCACATGTAACATTTTAGTAAAATATGGTACGTCATATTTCAGCAGAGCGAAAGTATTTTAAATTATTTAAATGTTCATCAGATAATGCAGACATGTGTGAAGTTTATTTATTTCAAGAAACTGCCTAAGTAACCAATTTGAGATAAAGAAAACTTAAAATACGATAATTGAAATGACCTGTTGGAGTTATTTACGAAATGAATATTTAGGAAAATTCAATCATGTCAATTGTGTACAATAAAAGTTCTCATAGAAAGAATAGAAATGTGATAAAAATCTCCAATTCAAAAAATAAGTTATTTCAACAAATTTCAAAATAAAATTAGACAAATGGATAGATAGATAGATAGACCTTAAGTCGAGCAGAGCCAATAAAATTCCCAGCCAAATCAGCTTGAAACTTCAAGCCGAACTGAACCAGCTCCATCTGTTCGGCTCAGCTCAGCTTGGCCTAGCCCAGACACTAGCACGAGATTTCCATACATATATAAACCAAATTGTTTCAACTAAATAATTATCCATATGTAAGCATAGAAATCACAACAGTTTTTCGAAACACAACCTCACATTAATTATGACAACCATAAAAAGTTCTACGCGAGTTAGCGAGGGGTGAGAGGACCGCTGGACACTCGGCGCGACAGAAGAAGCAGTCGTAACGACACAGACGGAACCGAACAAGCATCAATCATTTTCACCAACATGTCATACATAAACACCTCCTTGCTCTTGATTTTTATTATTTTTTAATTTTTTAGTTAATATTTATAATTATTATTAGTATCATTATTAATAATTGATTAATATTGATGTCGTAAATGGCAATAATAAAATTATTGATGTTATCATCCTATTTCACGTTGTCATTGTTGGAATATTTGTAAAAAAAAACTTACAATTTTTTCTAGTCT